ACATCCCTTCCTCCAGGAAGCCTTCCTGTATGCCCTGGGCTGGCTCAGGCACTTCCTCTGGGCTCGCACATTCCCCTTTGTTTTCCCCATGGTGGCCCTGACCCTTCTGCCTGTGCTTCCTCCCTCAATGCCTTGGTCACTTCAGCATCCCCCTGACCATGCTGAGTTGTCACTCTCTGGTGAGTGTCTGTCCCCCCCATTCTTCCGTGAGCTTGTGATGACAGGGACAGAGCCAGCCTGATCACCACTGTGTTCCCAGCATCGCGCCCCACAGGGCTGGGCATGAGAAAATTCAGTACGTGCATCAGACCCTTAATGCTTAGTTCAGGCCTGATCATATACTTGGTGCTCAGTAAATCTGAGAAAGAAATAAGAAGGCCTTTTGACTGTCCCACCCTAGTGCTTTCCTCCTTGCTTCACCACCTCACACCACGTCCTAGTCTCCCCTGACTTCTCTCTCTCCCTCTCCCTCTCCCTCCCTTCCTCTCTTCTCCTCCAGCCACACATCACACTGGCCCCACCCAGCTCTGAAGCGTCCCTTTCTTGGGCGTGATGCCCACCTCTCACACCCCTACCCGTGAATTTCAGGCCCTCCCTTGCTCAGCTGACCCAAAGGAGCACCTGAGATTTCAGCCTTTCTCTATTACCTTGACACCCAAACTTCAGGTTTCAGAGCGTTGCCAAGTCTGCACACCTCTGGGCTGCCACTGACGGCACTTTTCTATATCCTCTCTGATAAAATGAATTCATTTGGAAAGGAAACAACCTATGACATATTCTTGCAAAAAACTGGATGAAGTGGAGCCACATATGTGATGGATAAATCTAAGAAGCATAGTGTTGCAGTGGAAAAACTCAACTGCATGTACCGTAGGATACAATTTACGTAAAATTTACCAAAAAATCTAAAACTATTCTATATGTTGTCAATGAATATATGCATATATATTAAAAATATGAACGCGTGCATAGGAGTAGAAACCCAAAATTCTAACAGACATACGAAAAGATGCTCAAAACCATCAGTAATAAAACAAGAGAGAATTGAAATAACAGCAGGTGCCACTTTACACTGAATTACTCTTGTCAAAAACTAGAAAACTGAGTAATATCAAGGGTGGGTGCTGAGGAAAGGATACAAGAACCCCCGTGAACTGTTGGTTGGAGTGTGGAACGGGACGGCCTTTGTGGAAAGCAAACTGCCACATATCCAGGACCCAGCAATTCTGCTCCCTAAGAAAGAGACACACAAGTCTCTACCGGGCCAAGCATGAGGGGGTTCATTGCAGCATTATTACCAGTGGGAGTAGTGTGGTGAGGGAGTTGGAAGTAGCCTGACTGCCCTCTCTGGGGAGGAGACAGTAAACTGTGGAGGATGCACACCAGAAGGGCCCCAAGCAACTCTCAGACGCCATGGACTCAGTGTGCCTGGAGTCACATGGACGGACCTTAATAAAACTGTGGTGCTCAGCAAGAGAAGTAAGAATAGGATGAGCTATTTAACACAATCATGGGTATGTCAATTAGAAAAGACATGAGCAGGAAATACTGGGATCCCTTTTGCAAGAACCCACTCAACCAAAAAAGATATATATGAGAATATTAGAATGTTTGCCAGTGGGGGGAGGGGCACCGAAAGAGACTAGGATATGGAGATATGAGGAAATACATTAAATTTAAATCAAGAGGGCTTCCCTGGTGGCGCAGTGGTTGAGAATCCGCCTGCCAGTGCAGGGGACACAGGTTCCAGCCCTGCTCCAGGTAGACTCCACATGCCGCGGAGCAACTAAGCCCGCGAGCCACAACTACTGAAGCCCGCGCGCCTAGAGCCTGTGCTCCGCAACAAGAGAAGCCACTGCAATGAGGAGTCCGCGCACCGCAACAAAGAGTAGCCCCCGCTCGCCGCAACTAGAGAAAAGCCCGCGTGCAGCAACAAAGACCCAATGCAGCCAAAAATAAAATTAATTAATTAAAAAAAAAACCATTCACTTAAAAAAAAAATAAATCAAGAAGTATCTTGTGGGGGATAATGAACTATAAACTGAGGGTGTGGGATTAACGCAATCCAGGACACCTGTGATCTGAAAAGGAAGACAAGGGAAGGGTGTGGAGGAGGATGAGTCCCAGATTTATTTATCTATCTATCTATCTATTTATTTATTTTTGGCTGTGTTGGGTCTTCATTGCTGTGCGCGTGCTTTCTCTAGTTGCGGCGAGCTGGGGCTACTCTTTGTTGCACTGCGCGGCCTTCTCGTTGCGGTGGCTTCTCTTGTTGCGGAGCACAGGCTCTAGGCGTGCAGGCTTCAGTAGTTGTGGCACACGGGCTCAGCAGTTGTGGCTCACGGGCTTAGTTGCTCCGTGGCATGTGGGATCTTCCCAGACCAGGGGATCAAACCGATGTCCCCTGCATTGGCAGGAGGATTCTTAACCACCTCTCCACCAGGGAAGTCCGAGTCCCAAATTTAGTAGTGAAGTTGTCTCTGGGGTGGGATCAGGTGGCTTCAAATGCCGTCTGCAATGTATGCACCTTAAGAAAACAATCTGCAGTGAATACAGAAAATACTTAGATTTGACAAAGCTGGGATGTAAGGATGTAGGTGTAGGTTAACATTATCCCTACGTTTTCTTGTATAGTTGAATTTTTTTTTTTTTTTTTTTTTGCGGTATGCGGGCCTCTCACTGTTGTGGCCTCTCCCGTTGCGGAGCACAGGCTCCGGATGCGCAGGCTCAGCGGCCATGGCTCACGGGCCCAGCCACTCCGCGGCATGTGGGATCTTCCCGGACCGGGGCACGAACCCGTGTCCCCTGCATCGGCAGGCGGACTCTCAACCACTGCGCCACCAGGGAAGCCCAGTTGAAATATTTTATAATTAAAAAGTTTGAGAAAACTTTCCTTTCACCACTGCCCATGGAAAACAAAACATCTTAAGAATAAATACAATGAAAATATGTTACTATTAAATTCTAGTGAGACACTGAGGCCTGTTGAAACCTGCTCTAAGCGAGAAAGGGGAGATGTTTAGGACACAGTAGCTTGAAATTACTGAGCCTTTCTCCATGGCACCGTCTGAAGGACTGGTTAGAAATGGCTCATCTTCTCGTCATATGAATTTTGTATCATTTCATCTCATGTCCATGGGATGTCTAAAATTATCTCATGTGCCCTCGTTCGAAAACACCACTTTTAACACATTGAATATGTTTCTTTTGAAAGGATCTACCCTCTTTAGAATAAGGCATTGGAATAAAAAAACATACAGAAAAGTGCACTTATCGTGAGTGTACCGCTTGATGAATTTTCACAATCTGAATATCCCTGTGTAACCAGCGTCCAAATCAAGAAAGAGAAGCCCCTTCCTGTCCCCCCGCCTAGTCACATGTTCCCAAGGGTAACCACTCCCTGACTTTTATCATTCTAGATTGGTTTTGCCTGTTCTAGAACTTCCTATCTAGAATCATACAGTGGTAGTCTTTTGAGTGGCTTTTTTTTCATTTAGCGTAATGCTTTTGAGATTCATCCCAGTGGTTGCGTGTATCCATAGTTCGTTCCCTTTTGTTGCTGAATAGTATCCATTATATGCATGTACCATCATGGACTTATCCATCCTCCTGTTAAGGGACACTTGGGTGGTTTCCAGTGTGGGGCTGCTATGAATACACTCACAGCCTTTGGTAGACGGAAGTAGGGGAATTTCCAGGGACAAATGGCCGGATCATAGCATAGGCATATGTCATCTTTAGGAGATCTTGGCGTTGTGATTTTTATCATCAACCTTCTGAGCATCTGAGTAATTAGCACTTCAAATTTTATTGTTTTGAAGACTAGCTTATATAAAAGTAAGAAAGAATAGTGAAAATTCAAGTTTGACATCAAAACACACTGGGTTCTTGTTTCAGAACAAAATGAATCCCTTTTACAACAGGTGACATATGCCTCCATTGATGAAAAAGACATTTTATATAACTTCCAATTGCTTATAGTTATCAACTATTTGAAAATAAAAATATTTCATATTATTAGCATGGTCCTATTATTTTGCAAGTTACTTTAGCTAAAACTTATAAAATGTATTTGACAGGTTATATACATTATTAGAAAAACTATTTTAAATGTATAGTGGATTGACTAAAAATCAAATTATCCATTTTAATCGGAAAACATCTCATGAGTCTTATTACGAAGCCAATATCTTGACGATTGAATTTTAAGTTCCATTTGTTTGCCCATTTCTCACTGGGGAAAGCCAAAGCACAGAGAGAAAACCAAGCAAATGCCCTAGCTCTCCGGGTTGAAAAGTTCTGGGGAAGGCCGGGCCCAAGTCACCCTTTTCGCCTGCAGGATCAGCCTTTTGCCACTAGGGGGCGCCACCGGAGAGACCGTGGGCTGCTCCGGAGCACTGCTGGTGAGGCGCGGCTGCCCACTGCACACCAGGCCCATTCAGGGCGCCCCTCCCTTTTGCTTGCGCACTCCTCTCCCCGCTTGCTCGTTGAACACTCATCTCAAAATCCCGTCACACACGCATCTCCTTCCATCCATCCCCTCAGCGCAGAGACCGAGCACCAGCATCCCGGTCATCCCTCCCACTTGCCTCGTCTCCTCCCACCTCCCTGCCTCATCCAGCTGCCCTTGCCTGCCTGGGTCCCTGCCTAGACCTCCCCTTGGGCTCCCAGCCTTGGAGAGGTGGAGCCACCCGGAGAGGATGCAATTCTGGGATTGCGGACACGCGTGTGGGTTTTTTGTTTGTTGGGTATTTTTTAAATTATTCATTTATTTATTTATTTATCTGTGGCTGTTTTGCTCCCGGGCTTCCTTTCTTCTAGTTCTGGCGGAGCCGGGGGTGGGGGGGGGGGCGGGGGGGGTACTCTTCCTTGCGGTGCGCCGGCTTCTCATGGCGGTGGTTTCTCTTGTCGCGGAGCATGGGCTCTAGGCGCATGGGCTTCAGTAGTTGTGGCTCGCGGGCTCTAGAGCGCGGGCTCAGTAGTTGTGGCGCACGGGCTTAGTTGCTCCACGGCATGTGGGATCTTCCTGGACCAGGGCTCGAACTCGTGTGCCCTGCCTTGGCAGGTGGATTCACGGTGCCACCAGGAAAGTCCCCTCACGTGTGGGTTTGACTTGGATCTCTCCCTCCTCCCAGCAAGGCCCTAGTCCTGAGGAGAGACATCAGGTGGTGCACTCGCCCTCTCCACCCCGCCCCCCTCCACCACCATGACAGACTGGGAACCAGAGGCCCCTGCAGTTCACCTTGCTCATGTGGCCAGATATTAGCAAAATCTGGAATTTCAGGTCTGTAAATCACTTGGGGGAGGGGTCTCATAAAACGGTTCTCCCACACTGATCTGCCGGCTTGACCTCTTGTCCCCTCCTCCAGACACCCTCCCCCCTTCCAGGAAACTGGCCCAAGGAGGGGCCTGCGCATATATAGGGAGGCACTGTGGGAGGGCCTGGCCAGAGAGGCTTCAGGCAGAGAAGGTGAGGACGGGGCTCTGGGGGTCTGGATGGGCAGGGGGAGCTGGGGAGGTCTGAGGCTAGGGGTGGGGGGCAGCCCTGAGCTCTGGCCAGTGACTGCCCCACCCAAGGCTTCATTTCTTCTTTTTTATTTGGCCAAGCCACTCAGCTTGTGGGATCTTGGTTCCCCATCCAGGGATTGAACCCATGTCCCCTGCAGTGGGAGCGTGGACTCCTAACCACTGGACCAACCAGGGAACTCCCTCCTCCTCTGTAAAATGGCCCACTGCTGGGGTTGTGGGAAGCTGGGCACACTTGGTACTGGCTTGGGCCCATCAGAGAGCTGGCAGCAGCCCCTGGCAGCTGGGGTGTGGAATGGGGCAGTGGGTCCGCTCCCGGCCCCTGCCCGGCCTCATCCCGGCTCGTGTGTCCCAGGCAAGACTATGGCTTCTGCAGCAGCAGCAACAACAGAGAAGGGGTCTCCAGTTGTGGTGGGTCTGCTGGTCGTGGGAAACATCATTATTCTGGTGAGACATTCCCTGGGGCTGGGAGCCCAGTGGGCGGGTGAAGAGGAGGGGGGCGGTCCTGAGCCTGGGAGTGGGACAGCTGAGGGCTCAGGACTCACCTAATGGCCAGTGTCGCCTGGCTCTCAAGTCAGAAAAGCCCTGATTCGAATCCCAGCTCTGCCTCTCCCCAGCTGTGTGACCTTGAGTAAGCGACTTTACTTCTCTGTGCCTGTTTCCCCATTTATAAATTATGTCCACACTGTGGGCATTGTTGTGTGGATTAATCCATGTATGGCCCTCAGCTCAGAAAAAGTGCTTGACCAGTGCCAGCTGTCATCATTAACATGATTACGGACGTAAGGTGCCCGATTGGTGCACAGGAGTCCAATAGTAATGTATAATAACAATGTCTTTTAATTACGTGATACCTGTACATGGCTCTGGAGCCAGACAGCCTGGGTTCAAATCCCAGCTCTGTCACTTTCTATTGTGGGACTTGGGGCCAGTGATGTAACCTCTCTGGGCCTCAGTGTTCTCATCTGTAAGATGGAGATAAAATAGGAATGCTGAGAGGATAAAATGAGTTATTGGATTTGTGCTTAGGCCAGAATTTGGCACACGTGGTCGCTATCTGTGTTGGCCATAACAGCAGTAGTGCAGGAGAGCTGGTAACAACGATGATTATCATACAGAAAGCAGTTTCCAGGACCAACGCACACAGTAAATACTCTATGAGAGTTAGTTTGATTGTTGGCAAAGGTATCCACTGAGCCGTCTTCCTCTCTCCTTGTTCCCCATCCCAACAGGTAACCAGATTTTTATTTTCTCCAATATTTCTTTAAGCAAATACAAGCAAATAGGAACCTATATACCTATTTTCTCCCCTTTCTTGCCCCAAACGTAGCTCATTCCACACCCTGCTCCGTGCCTCCCATTTCCTCCTGTGCACATTCTCTGTCCACATGAGTCCTCAGACAGCCTCCCTGTCCTTTTCCACAACCGCCCAGCCCTCCATTGTGTGGCATCCTGGCTCCTTTACCCACGGTGCTGCGGGGAATAACCTTGTGGGTGTGTGATTTTCCTGCCTGGGCAGGTGTATCTGGAGGATTGACTCCTGCAAGTGGAATTGCTGGATCAAAGCGTTGATGCTTTTGTAATAGTTCTGGCCACGGCCAGGCTCCCCTCATCAGGGAATAGCAACGCTCTTCAGGGGAGGCGGGCTAACCTAGAATCTCCTCGGTACCAGTCATGAGCGCCAGGCTTTGCATGTAGCGTCTCTTTGTATCCTTGAAGCCACTGGCAGCTGGGGTGTGGGTGGGGGCGGAGATCTGGCTGGGTCCTCCCTTCCCTCATGGCCTCCTGCCCACCTTCATCCCTGCTCATGGAAGGTGACATCTTTGCCACTCTTACTATGTGCCCACTTTACCAAGAGGGCAGTAGAGGCTCAGAATGGGGAAGGCCCTTCTCATGGAGACTCATGGAACCGGGGCTGCTGCCCCTGTGCAGGCCTTGCTAACCGGCTGCCCTGTCCAGCTGTCAGGCCTGGCCCTGTTTGCTGAAACGGTATGGGTGACCGCCGACCAGTACCGCATGTACCCACTGATGGGCGTCTCGGGCAAGGATGACGTCTTCGCTGGTGCCTGGATCGCCATCTTCTGCGGCTTCTCCTTCTTCGTGGTGGCCAGCTTTGGTGTGGGCGCAGTGCTCTCCCGCCACCGGTCCATGATGCTCACGGTGAGGCCCCAGGAGGAAGGGATGGGGACGGCTGGGCACAAAAGTCATCCTCACAGAGTCGTAATAACAACCACACCGCAGCTACTAGTGTGTGTTCCGCATGGTACCACGCTTGGGCCTCGTGGCAATCAGGTCAGTTAATCTGCCCATAACCTAACAACCTAGGCTCAGCTGTTACCCCCATTTTGCAAAGAAAACTGGGGCACAGGGGAGGCAGGGAAGGCAGCTCTGCCTGGGAGGATGGCTCTTAAGTAACGGGACTGGGATTTGAACCTCAGCTGGTTGGTCTCCGTGGTCTGTGCTCGGGAGCTCTGTTGATAACAATGACAATAATAATAGCACAGCAACCATTTAATGAGCGCTCACTGCATTCTACGTGCTTTACATAGATTAGTTCATTTGCTCCTCACAACCCACCGTGAGGTACCGTCATCACCTTCATCATCATCATCATCTTCATGGCCCATTTGACAGAGTTGAAACTGAGGCTCAGAGAAGGGAATCCACTTATCCAGGGTGGCACAGCAAGTGAGTGACAGAGCCAGGATTTAAACCTGAGCACTTCAGTGCTTGAGCCTAGGCTCCTAATCTCTGCCCACAGCAATAACCCACACTCCCCAAGTACCTCTCACGTTCTGACACTAGGCTAAGCAGTTTAGAAAATGAGCTCCTTCAATCCTCCCAGAATCCGCCTGAAGTTAGTGCTTCTCTGCCCATTTACCAGATGGGGAAACTGAGGTTCAAAGAGGCCCACAGCCCAGATGATAGGGAGACCAGGGATTCCAATCCTGGCCCCACTGACACAGAGCCAACGCTGGGTTTTCCCCAGCTGAGGGCTTTTTGGATTCCCGGGAGCAGCTACTTATCCAATCCACAAATGTTTATACAGCAAGAACCATGTGCCAAACCCTGCGCTGGGCGCTAGGCTATTTTGTGAGCAAACCATAAAAGCCCTTGCTGTGGGGGAGGATACTCTCATGGGGGAGACAGTGACCAGGCAAGGGAGAGCTGGAGCTGGGGATGGGAAAGGGAAGATCTTGCAGGCAGAGAAAGTGAAGACCCGGGGCGGGGGCTGGTGGGGGGGGTGCGGGGGATTGATAAGGGAGTGAGCCGCATGAGTATCTGCAGAAAGAGCATTCCAGGTGGAGGGAACAGCAAGAGCAAAGGCTCTGAAGCCAGAGGGGACAGGAGTTCAGTGTGGCTGGAGCCAAGTGGGGGTGAGTGAGTGAGTGAGTGAGAGGAACTGAGGATGGACAGGGGAGGAGAACAGCAGCCGGGGGGTGGGGGGGGGAGGTTTGCTGGCCTTGAGGGGAGAGAGGGGAGAGAGCGGAGGTGGGCCTATCAGGTGGACCTGCAGGCCTTGGTAAAGGCTTTGGCTTCTCTATGAGTAACGTGGAGCCATGGAAATGCTCTTTTCCTTTCCTTTTCTTCTTCTTTTTTTCTTTCTTTCCTGCATCTAGTTCTCTGGCAGAACAATTTAACCAAAGTCCTAAAAGTTCACCCAACTAGTAAAAGAAAAAAGGTCTGTGTCTGTCTCTCCTATTAGTTTGTCATTAACTAAGACACAGATTTTTTTTTTAATTGTTATGGGAAATTTCAAACAGACTAGAGTGAACGGCACGATGCCCCCTGTGTACCTCTCACCTGGTTTCCACAATATCACCCGCACATCGTCCCCTCTACCCCTACCCTCTGCCTGCCCACATTTTTCTTTCCTGGGGTATTTTGAAGCACATTCCAGACACCAGGTCACTTCCCTGTAAATACCTGCGTGCACATTTCTCTGAGTGATAAGGACGTGGTTTTAAAGCAGCCAGGCATGCGTGGCCACATCATCTCGTCTGGGCAGTGGAGCTGGCACACCCACACCCCACGCCCTGTTGCTTTAAGGGGGAGGGGAGGGGACAGCTGAGGATCAGAAAAATAATTTTCATTAAACACCAATTAAAGAGCTTTTTCAGGTTTGGGGTTTTTTGTTTTGTTTTGCTTTCCCCAATCACCGTACTGCGGGCACATGGTGCAAAATTCACCCCAGTCCCTTCCTATCTATCTTCCAATACCCAATCTGTGTTCAGATGTCCCTGGTTGTCTCAGGAATGTCTTTATTTTTTTCTTTTCTACGGTAGGCATTCATTTTACTGCATCCAAGCCAACAGTTAACAGTTAAGGGAATACCTTACATATTTTTGTTGATTGCATTGTCCTGTAACATTTTATTTTTAAAAATTTCAAACATACAGAAAAGGTAAAGACTTGCACGGTGAACACCTGTATATCCCCCACGTAGATGTTTCCATTCACATTGTCCTATACTTTTTTTTTAACATCTTTATTGGAGTATAATTGCTTTACAATGTTGTGTTCGTTTCTGCTTTATAACAAAGTGAATCAGCTATACGTATATCCGCATATCTCCTCCCTCTTGCGTCTCCCTCCCACCCCCCATCCCACCCCTCTAGATGGTCACAAAGCAACAGCTGATCTCCCTGTGCTATGTGGCTGCTTCCCACTAGCTATCTATTTCACATTTGGTAGTATTTATAAGTCCATGCCACTCTCTCACTTTGTCCCAGCTTACCCTTACCCCTCCCCGTGTCCTCAAGTCCATTCTCTAGTAGGTCTGCATCTTTATTCCCATCCTGCCCCTAGGTTCTTCATGACCTTTTTTTTTTTTTTTTTAGATTCCATATATATGCGTTAGCATACGGTATTTGTTTTTCTCTTTCTGACTTACTTCACTCTGTATGACAGTCTCTAGGTCCATCCACCTCACTACAAATAACTCAGTTTCATTCCTTTTTATGGCTGAGTAATATTCCATTGTATATATGTGCCACATCTTCTTTATGCATGTCCTATACTTTTTAAAAAATTGTGTTTCTGGGAATTCCCTGGCGGTCCAGTGGTGAGGAGTCGGTGCTTTTGCCAGCAGGACCAGGTTCCATCCCTGGTCGGGGCATGGCCAAAAAAAAAAAAAAACTGCATTCCCATCACGGATCCATCCCTTGAGGGGTGTGACTTCACAGGCTTTGCCCTGCCAGGGCTGTCCCTGTGACCCTCCCTCCGTCTCTGCGCAGTACCTGGTGCTCATGCTCACCGTCTACATCTTTGAGTGCGCCTCCTGCATCACGTCCTACACCCACCGAGACTACGTGAGTCGGGGGGAGGACAGGGGAGGGGCATGACTTCCAGGGGAAGTTTGGTGAGGATCTTGGGCCGGCAGTGGAGGTCGATCTCTCTCCCCACCCAGCCCCGCTGGACCCTGTTCTTCCCGGCCCACTGCAGATGGTGTCCAGCCCATCCCTGATCACCAAGCAGATGCTGACCTTCTACAGTGCAGACTCGGACCAGGGCCGGGAACTCACCCGCCTCTGGGATCGCATCATGATTGAGGTGGGCGAGGGTAGGCAGGATGGGTGGGGAGGGCTGGAAGAGCTGAGGCTCTGACCAGGTCTCCCATTATGGCCCCCACTAGGGCTCCCATTATGCCCACCGGTAGATGATATCCACTCCTGTGGTTCTTATGAGGGAGAGGCTCTGGTCCTTGCCATTTTCGGGATGAAAACAGGCCCAAAAGAGGGAAAGTCACTTGCCCAGGGTCATATGGTTGGTAAGGGGCAGAGCTGGGATCCAAACCTAGATCCAGAGCCCCTGCTCTTAACCATTGCACATGCTGCCTTTTCTTTTTTTTTTGGCTGCGTTGGGTCTTCACTGCTGTGCGTGGGCTTTCTCTAGTTGCAGCGAACAGGGGTTACTCTTGGTTGAAGTGCGCAGGCTTCTCATTGCGGTGGCTTCTCTTGTTGAGGACCATGGGCTCTAGGCACGCGAACTTCAGTAGTTCCAGCACGCAGGCTCAGTAGTTGTGGCGCACGGGCTTAGTTGCTCCGCGGCATGTGGGATCTTCCCAGACCAGGGCTCAAACCCATGTCCCCTGCATTGGCAGGAGGATTCTTAACCACTGGGCCACCAGGGAAGTCCACACCTGCTGTCTTAATAGTAACAATAGTAATAATAACAACAGATGGTGGTCCAGTGGTTACGACTCCATGCTTCCACCACAGGGGACACGGGTTTGATCCCTAGCTGGGAAACTAAGATCTGCATATCGGCGAGGGAGCTGCCAAAAAAAAAAAAAGAAGAAGAAGAAGAATTGTTCAATTAAAAAAATAACAACAGGGCTTCCCTGGTGGCGCAGTGGTTGAGAATCCGCCTGCCGATGCAGGGGACACGGGTTCATGCCCCGGTCCGGGAGGATCCCACATGCCGTGGAGCGTCTGGGCCCATGAGCCATGGCCGCTGAGCCTGCTCTGGAGCCTGTGCTCTGCAACGGGAGAGGCCACAGCAGTGGGAGGCCTGCGTACCGCAAAAACAAACAAACAAAAAAACATTAAAGAGCACTATCTTTCGTTTAGCGCCATTCAAAGCACTTTCAAGCTTATTTAATCCTCACAACCAGTCCATAAAGAAGATCAGCTCTTTAGCGGTGAGGAGACCAAGGCAGGAAGCTGAGGGTTTGCACGAGGTCACGCAGCTGGTAGGTCACAGAACCAAAAGGACTCAAACCCAGGCTGCCAGTTTCCAGAAGCCACATTCTTAATTAAACTCAACAAGATACGGCAGCACAAGAGGAGAATATTGAGGACCCAAGGGAAATTGAGGTTCCCATTTGGTTCGTCATGCAGCTAGCCTGGACTGAGACCCAGGTTTGAAGGAGCCTATGTTTTCATCATTTGAGAGTCACAAATTAAACACCCACGGGGGTCAGGAGAAGCCAGAAATCTGCCTTTTGGTGTCATTTACCTCATGTTTTGTTGACAGCTAATTAAAAAAATTTTTTTTCCAATGAATTTTTTTTTCAAAAATATTTAAAATAAATCACGAGTGTGGGTTTGAGCCAAATCCCCCATCAGCCTCGGGGTGCTGGGACCAGTATCTTCTGCTCCTTTGCCCACACACAGACACTGCTGCCCCTCTTCGAGGAGGCCCAGGATGTGGGGAAGTGCAGGCCAACCTTATCCTTCCTCGCTGTGTGACCTCAGGGGAGCGGCTGTCCTCTCTGAGCCAGAGTCCTCCTGACCCCTGCCTCTGTCTCCAGCAAGAGTGCTGTGGCACGTCAGGTCCCATGGATTGGGTGAACTTCACATCAGCCTTCCGGGCCACCACCCCAGAGGTGGTGTTCCCCTGGCCCCCGCTGTGCTGTCGACGGACTGGCAACTTCATCCCCCTCAGTGAAGAAGGCTGCCGCCTGGGCCACTTGGACTACCTGTTCACCAAGGTGTGTCTCCTCCCCCCTGCTGTGTCTGTCGGTCTCTCTGGCCCTCTCTGGTTCTTCTTTTTCCCTCCCTGTCTGTCTGTCTGCTCCTCCCTCCCATCTGGCTTTCTCCTTCTCTCCCCTCCGTCTGACTCCCTCAACTCTCCATCTGTCCCTCCCTCCCTCTGCAAGTCAGCAGGATGAACCCCGGTTCTGGTTTGATCTGATCCAGACCTGGCGGCGCCCGAAACTTTTCTCAGGTTGTCTGGGGATAAAAGTAACAATAACAGTATCAGCAGCACAACACCAATAACAACCAACATTTATTGAGCTGATACTTTGTACCAGGCCTCCTTGTAGGTGCTCTAAGTTTTTACCTTATTTAATTCTCACCACAGCCTTATGAGGTAAAGATTATAATTACCTCACTTTACAGATGATGAGCCTCACTAGTGACGGATGGAGTTGGGATGTGATTTCAGGCAGTCAGGCCCCAACCAGGTGCTTTAACTCCTGCAAAGGGAGTGCAGAGGCAGAGAGAGAAACCAGAGGAGGAGAACCGGTCCCCTTCGCTGCCTGGGGGCGCTTCACCATCATGCCTTAGATCAGGTGTCACAGAGAGGGGAGCCTGTATGCAAAACATCACCGCCACCAGGGTCGGACAGCCCTTCCTTGAACCCTGGCTCTCTGCAGAGTGCTTACATGCATCATCTCACAGCATCACCACGACTGCTTTCGGAGGGCAGTGCTGTCAAAGATTGCCATTTCACAGATAGCAAAACTGAGGCTCAGAGGGTCAGAATCCTAGCTAGGCCCCATAGCCAACAAGCGGCAGAGCCGGCCCCCAGCTCCATCCCACCTGACTCCAGGGCACACACCCGGAACCTTTGTTCTTGGCTGCTTCCAAGTTGGGCCAAGCAGGGGTCTACATGAAGGCGACAGGTGTGGGGCTCTGGGCCCACTCAGCCTTACCTCCAAATGAGGAGCTGTCAGAACTGGACTGATCCTAAAGGTGTATTTCAAACCCTTGGAACTTGGGGGAAGCATGGAAAGCCAGCCCCAAACAAAATCACCCTCAGACTGTCACAGGCACCATCGGGGCAGCACCTGCTTGTGCAGGGCCTGGGTTAACATCACATCCCTGGCTCCCTGAAACCGCCCTGGGAGGGAGACACTGCCGTGATCCCCAGGGTGAGAAACCCACTTCCTCATGGTCCCACAGGTAAGAAAACCAAGGCTCGAGGCAGGAAGTGACTTTCCCAAGGGCGCCCAGTGACTCTTGCTTTCAGCAGCCAGCCTCCCCAGGCATTTTTTCAGACCCCCATGTTCCCCCTGCCCAGGGCTGCTTCGAACACATTGGCCACGCCATCGACAGCTACACGTGGGGCATCTCATGGTTTGGGTTCGCCATCCTGATGTGGACGGTGAGAGGCGGGAGCCTGTGGGCTGGGTGGGATGCGGCTGTGAGGCTGGGGCGCCCCTCACCTGCCTCCTCCCCTCCAGCTTCCTGTGATGCTGATGGCCATGCGTTTCTACAGCACGTTGTGAGGAAGAGAAGGGAAGCCCACGTGCACACTCAGCTCCCCTGCCCCTGCTCCCTCCAGCTGCGACGCCGCCCCACCTCTCCCTTCCCCACCTCCTCCACCCTTCCCTCCCTCCACTCCAAAGTTTTTTTTGTTTTTTTTGTTTTTTTGCGGTACTCGGGCCTCTCACTGTTGTGGCCTCTCCCGTTGCAGAGCACAGGCTCCGGACGCGCAGGCTCAGCGGCCATGGCTCACGGGCCCAGCCGCTCCGCGGCATGTGGGATCCTCCCGGACCGGGGCATGAACCCGTGTCCCCTGCATCGGCAGGCGGACTCTCAACCGCTGCGCCACCAGGCCCCTCCAAAGATGTTTTACCAGGTTTCTGAGCCCTGCTGGGAGTTGGGGTGCCCTGAAACCCCTGGACATGTGTGCACGGACCCTTAGACCTTAACCCCATCTCACTTGGCTGATTCCTGGCCCATCTTTCAGTGTCAACTTGAAGTCCTGTCCTGGCGGGGGGACCCTTCCCTGATCTTACCACCCCACTCGCGGATGCCTCTCTAGTAGCTCCCTGAGCTCCTTCTTCATGCTGGTGTCGTCACCATCACTGAATAGTTTGTGATTGTCTATATAAGCTCTGGTAGACTGGGACTGCCATGAGGGGAGGGACAAGTTCTGTTATGGTTACTTTAATATCCCCAGTATTGCCCGGCACAGGGCTGAGCACGGATATTCAATAAATACTGCTTGAATGAGTTAATTTGTTTTCTTCGGAGGCCGAGGCGAATGAACCAGAACTCTTCCAATGGAAGTGGCAGAAACCCAACTGGCACTGACTGAAACACAAAATAGAAAGTATTGGCTCATGTAACTGAGTCAGTAAGGCTAGCTTCAGGCATGTCTGGATCCAGGGGTTCAGTCTAGGTCTCCAGGAAACCTGCTTCATTCTCAGGCAGGATTTCTCTGGCGACACCAGACTTACATCTTTATAGCTAGGCAACAGAGCAGCGAGAAAGGGCCTCTTTCCCCATAACCTTTGCCAAGGTCAGGGATTAAATCTCACTGACTTGGTGTAGGTTCTAGACCCACTCTTTGGTTGGGGAAGGTCAGGCTCTGGGGATTAACATTCCTGCTAAGGATGCATCCAGGGGTGGTGTTAGGAAAGGGGGTTGTTTACCAAAGGAAAATCAGATGCTGGGCCAGTACAGGCGACAGACATCCTCCTACTAGGGACTAAAGCTTCCAGAAGGTTCTCTGAGGGGTGCATGAGAACAAACAGTTTAAGAATCTCATCACTGCTGTTTTGTCCTCTCTGAAGCAGGCTCATGCTCTGGCCACTTTACAGCAATTAGGCCCTGTGAGGAGAGTTTGTCTTCCTTCCCCATCAAATGAGGTTTCTCAGGGTCCTCGTTTACTGGTCTGCAGATGGTCTGCAAATGCTGAATTCAGATGTCAGCTTTTGAAAATATACTTTAAAAAAAATCTGTATTGGTCAAATCTATTAGGATGAAAAATTGGAAACAACCTAACCTCCATCAGCAGGGGGTGGGATGTACAACTCATGTTATATCCTTGGACTGGAATTCTCTGTGGCTGTTAAAAAGAAGATAGATCTATGTGAACTGATATAAAAAAGTATCATAATGGTATAAAGAATTAGAAAGTTCATTACAGTAACCTAAATGAACATCAGCAGGGGACTGGTTAAATTAGCTATGCTATGTCTATTCTCTAGAATACCACACACAGTAGTAAAAAATAATGTTTTAACATGACAAAAATCTCCAAGAAATGCAAGTAGAAACACTCACAAACCACATACGGTACTTTTATCCCTGTGGTTACATATGAAGGGTAGGTCTTGTCTTTTAAAATAAATGGGTCAAGGTTTTTAAAATAATTTTTAGAAGAATTAGGGAAAATACTTTTAAAAATCAAAAATCATTGATAACTCTTCCACTTAAAAGATTATAAAAATTTACAAATGGAAGTGTCCCATGTTCCGCTCCCCAGGAAACTCCCCCCCCAAATCTGTAGATAACTGCTATTAATACATGATAAATGTCCTTTTTGGCTTTTCAAAAGTTTATATCGACATATCTATATATACTTATATGAGCACACACATACACACACACTTAATAGAATAGTGCTTCAAATATTGCTTTGCAACTTGTTTCCTTCACTTAACTGTATATTTTGGGCATCTTTCCATGTCAGTATATATGAATTCATATATTATTTTTTTTTTTGACTGTTGCAGTGTATTCCAGAGTATAGTTGTGTCATCGATCATCATGCTCTGTTGTAAGTAGATAAGGCAAGGAGCAGAATAAGCATAAGTGATTTCATTTTTATAAAAATTCTATATACATATATATATGGTACGGGATAGAGGGCCCAGAGGAGGAATTTTCACACCATATATATCTTTATAATGTTTGAAAAAGATGTTCGTTAAGATAATCTATTACTTTTCAAAAACAAAAACTAGTAAAGGGGTTTCTAAGATACTAAACAATGTACAGCTTTGCTTTTCAAGCCAGAATTTTTTTAAATGCCGTGTAGTTGTTACACATACCATATTTTAACACACAAGAGTCCCTCCAGGTTAACTGGCCTAACAGGCTTTTCTGCAGGCCCTGGAATGAAACTTCTCCCCCATCCCTGAGCACATATTTGACCACGTTGTAAACATGTCAAGGAAAGGGGGGATTTCATTCCAATCTACTTTTAAATTCAGGTGTGCCCTCAGGAGCAAGCTCACAGTGACCCAGCCCGTGACTTAGATTCTCTGAGAAAGGCAGAGAGGCAGTACTGGGTTCTCACTACACCTCCACCACACTCTGAGCCTCCATGTGCCCCTCTATAAAATGGGGTTCTAGCAGTCCCTACCGCATAGCTTAGGGTCCAATACATTCTAAGAGCTCAGGAACCCATAGACCTCTTTACTATGAATCAGGGATTTTCTAAATTCCGTGCCATCAGAACCAAATGCAGAAATAAACTGCCGGTAAGGCTGCTACTGTGTCTGGTAAGCCCCAGTTTCAAAGGTTTGGGGCTCCACCGTCTCGATGTACCGTAGCCAGCTCATCGAAGTGACTCACATATCTGTGCTTTCAAAAGTCAAATCATACCTGAAAACGCTTGGTGCTTTCGCTGAGAGATGTTCAACCCATGGGCTCGGCATATGTTAGCGTTAACATAACGCTTTTTGCCTGAGGGTCCTTCAAGAACGTTTGTGGAGTTAGTGGAGATTGATATGCCTAAAATCAAATCTTTCCTTAAATGTCACACTGCAAAAGAATATTTAATGTCGTGGGAGAATACCTTTTTTCACTGTTAAGTGAAAAAAGAAGATTACAAAAAGGCATGCCAAGTATGATTGCTTTTCTGATAAAAATTCAAGTATGTTTGTGTTTGTGTTAAAGTTGTGAAACGCAGTCTCCCAAAGGTTAGCCCTGGTTATCAAGGAAAAAGAGACACTTGAGGGGGATTTTTATTTCATTCCTTGGGCATTTTGGTATTTTCCAAATATTCTATGATGACTCTTGCTTTTGCCCTCCAATAAAAATAAATATTAAGAGAGCTCCTTTCTACTTACTAGACGGGATGCTGCCTAATTCATGACTTGTTGAATAAAACCCATTAGATCTTCAGATTTACTGAGTTCATTTTTCTTAACACTCCTACTCAGAGCTAGTTCTGATCATACAACCACAGCCTCCTGAAGACAGATACTCCTCTCTAGCCATCAATCTCACATTGGCTATTGCAATTTAACAGTGGAGCTCAAACTTGCCTGGTGGAATGGGATGTGATCCAATTTCCAATAGACAGTTCCTGAAGCAGAAGAAGTGGGTGTCCCTCTGTAGGCCTTTCTGTTTCAAGTAAGATCCACATAAGTGACTGGCAAAGGAAACTTAAAGGCAGCTCACCACTGAGCAACTTCAGAGAGACCAGAGCTGGGACCAGACACCTGCCCCACCCCATCTCCAGCGCCCACTGCAGACGACTACAAACAAGCTGCTCTTGATTTTTCACTTCTGGTAGTAACTGTATAAATAAAATAGACGAATAATAGAGAGATGGGTGGATGAACGGGTAATGATTGATAATCTTTTCAAAGAAGAAAAAAAATAAATATTAATAAAAACTTCACTGTAGGACATGAGATGTGTACTGAGAAAAGAATTACCTTGCTAAACATTTTCAGACTTTACCTGAGCTGTTAAAACAGGTCAGGCCTTGTCAGATGCTGGGGTCTTGGAGCCAAGCTGGCCTCTGGGCAGCAGGTACGGGTCCTCCGCCTCTGTCCCACATCTGCCACTCCCTTCTCTGGCTTCATCTGGCCACATATTTGCTCAGCTGGAATGGCAGCGGTGCGGCCTGGCCAAGGCAGGCCTCGGCTGGCAGGACGGGTTTGTCTGCCCTGGCCTTTTCACCCAGAGGCCCACTCCTGTGGGTAAGAGAGGAGCAAAGAGCTGAGCGCCAGGCGAGTGAGGCTCCCAGGACCACCCAAGAGAGAGGCAACCATTCGATGGCTGTTCCTACTGCACCTCTAAAGGACCATGTCTGTCCAGAGCTGGATCCGGCCTCTAACCCTCCGTGGCTCCCCAGTGCCCTCAGCACAAAGTCCAGCTGCTCAGCCTGGCACTGAGGGGCCCTGTGGCCTTTTTCCTTGCTACTTCCCCAAGCCTATCTCTCCCTCCTGTCCCCCCTTTTATTTTTTTAAATTTTGGCTGTGCTGCACAGCTTGCGGGATCTTAGTTCCCCGAGCAGGGATCAAACCTGTGCCCCCTGCAGTGGAAGTGCATAGTCCTAACTGCTGGACCACCAGGGAATTCCACCCTCCTGTCCCATTGAACCAACCTCTCTTTCACCACTGGAGATCATAGAATGGAAAGAATAAACTAATGTATGTTATAGCAATCAAGCAGGCACACACCTCTGACTACATACACTGTTGCTTACACTCCTTCCATGAGAGCAAGTTGACTTCTTCACTGAAATGTAAAACCCACACCCCTTTGACCCACCCGATTCCACCTCTGGGAATCTATCCTGCATATACACTCCCGAGAGTGTGCAAAGACCCATGTACAAGGGTAACAGAAAAGCAATAACTGAGGAACAGCCTGAATCACATCAGAAGAGAACTAGTTATACAATTCATTTTCTCACACCATAGAA